TTATCTTCCAGCATCTCAATGCAGCTTTGAAGAAACCGGTATCTCTGGTGAAATTGAAGTTACCAACAGTAATTGGTACACAAATAATTCTAATTGTGCGTGGACTATTATTGGACCAGTAGGAAAACATATAAAATTTTCGGTAAGTGATAAGGAAAATAAGATACGCGTGTATGATTAACTAGGTTCGAAAAGTCCTCAAAAAGTACTTTTTGGGAAATTGTGTTCTTCTCTTGTTATTGGTAAGTCTTGTTATTGGTAAGCTCACGGTCGCAATTTCAGTCTTCAAATGCACGTGAGTCCAGGATTATCCGCGTTTGAATGTTAAAATGACGACTCGTCTTTCAACTTTCTATATGGGAAAGGGAAATAGAGAAATAGAACTTTAAACTCCTGGTTGTAGGTATTTTTGAAGTGATTTTTGTACATTTCGAGTACTTCTGTAGACTATTTACATATATTCAAGACTAAATCAACTCCTGAAAATGGCGCACCGACCCCTTTGAAAACATTTTGGAAGATATAAACGTTTTGTTTTTTAGGTCGAAAATTTCAACACTGAAGAACATAGAGATTATGTCCATATTTATGATCTTGTAACCAATGGCGATATAGCAACTCTCTCGGGACAACAAAGTAATCGGGATTTTTACACGGCATCAAATCAAGCTCGGATAGAATTTAAAACTGATTCCAGTGTTGTTCAAACTGGTTTCAAAATCAAATGGACTTCAGGTGAGAAACGTTTCCCTTTTCAAAGAAAATGTAACTGTGCTCTGGCTGTAGTTATAGTTGATGAAATAGATGGAACATGTGTAAAGCAATAAAAGACGCTATAAATACTTTTTTAAGACAACGGTGAAGCGAAATGTGAATTAGTCAATTTTTAGTTAGAAATGCTGCCATCTTGTAAGGGGAGATAACATATATTATTATGTTATTGTGGTCTGGTGTTAGGTTGGTAACAAATTCTCTTGCGGGAGATTCACCCTGTCCGGTTAACTCTTTCTGGAATTGCAGGAACCACAGACATTGGAACCATTGGAATGTCCCAAATAGAAAATAGTCAAAGGCGTCCCCGATGCACAATACCTTTAAGGAGAACTCTTAATAAGATGGTATTAAACTTTCTGTCTGTTTTGTCTAGATATTCCGGAATTAAACAGTGGAGTTATAGAATTAACAGCTACTAACGACTGGCAAGTTATAACATCTCCATTTTATCCAAATAGCCCTGGATATTTTTATAAAGAATGGTTGATCAGAGCTGAAAAAGGGCAGGTTATAACATTTAAGGTATAGTATATAAACAATAGGACACAATTCCATGTATAGCCAAATACGGATATTGTGCTCGTCCGGTTCCGTCAAAACAGAAATACAACCAGTCCATTGTATTTTCAAGGGTATAAAAGGTAAAGCATTTAGCACGTTATTTTCGAAACGGTACGATATTATCCATAGATAGGTTTGACTAAAGGCCGTGGCTATTCGCACCGCGACGGTACAAAAAAGGGCATAAAAAAACATATGGCCATCCATATCTAACCCCTTAACAGAGTCACTTATTATCATTCTTGATTATCAAAATGGCTTGTGAACTATTGTGTCTTATCTTATCCGTACCGTTGTAAGCAGCCACAGAGAACACGCATCGTGATTGTACAAATAGCCAAGTTGACTAAAACTTCAATAGGATAGGAATATCTAAAATGATTAAATATTCATGCAACATGGTTTAAAGGGACAATGTACACTTATATTAAAAAAAACACATAGGATCTAGAAGTTAAAAATTCTAACGAAATGTCACCTTTGCTCGCGTCACCTCACATGTGTTTGTTTTTCTTTATAGTTTGTGTTCTTTCTCTTCATGTTGCTCAGTTGGTGCTCAAGTGCCTCCTTCCTGGACCACTAACCAAAATGTTGATGTGTCCTTTGATGAAGCTTTTTTATTTGTCTGTTCTCTCATAATATTAAGATCGTGTTTTTTTCTTCATCGACAACGTTTCAAAGGTGGTGCTTCCTTCCTCCTCCTTCTGGAATACAAACCAAAATTTTTGTTAATTTGTGGTCTGATCTCCCATCTTTGCAAACAGTTTATTGTATTGATCGTTTCAGGTGGAAGAGTTATTCACACTTCAAGCAAGCGAAGGCGAAGCTACCATCCTTATCAATGATGGGGAGGAATACTTGCATACAACCATGCATTATTATACTTCTACAACTGATTTGACTACAACCCTAACCAATACCCTGAGAGTTATTATGTATCATGAAGCTGCTCTATCACCTGGTCAAAGTGGAATTAAACTCAGTTTCAAAGAAGGTATTCCCACGACTCTTTCTAGAAAAAGTACACGAAATGTAAGGGCCCAAACGGGGTAGGGGTGCGTATGTATTTGTTTGGAGGAATCATTTTTTGTCAGAAGCATAGATATAATACAAATAATGTGATTTTAAAATTATTTACTTTATGTATTAAGTTAGGACTATGGCTGTGAATGATTGAATTATGATTATGGACAAAATGGAAAGATAACAATATATTAATTTTAATTTACACAAAATTAATTGAGTTTGAGTCTATGTGACGGTATAATCCTCAACATTATACCTGGTTGTCATTAGTCAAGACCTTCGAATTAAACTGTAAAGGCGCATCAGTTCCGCATACACACAGGGTAGGCAAATATCTTCAAATCATATAATAATGTTGTGAGTAACGACCGCTGAATTTCATTTGTCTCCTTTCAGGTTGTCATTTAAAACTTGCTCGCACACGTGGTAGGATTCAGTCGCCTAACATGGGAAATTATGAATATCCACCATCTACAATTTGTTCCTGGCTTATCACAAACCCCAGTGATAACAACTGTACATATGCTATAGATATACAACGTTTTAACCTCCAGGATAACTTCGACAACGTCAAAGTGAGTTTGTTTTTTACAGCTTCCGAGTTATGCTCGTAATCGATTTGTCACACTTTGTTTGTTATTTGCAGTGAAACTACATAATGACAAAAGTGTTCTGACGGAATTATCTCTAATACCTAGCGTGTCGTTATTGTTTACATGTAAATGACGCATTTTCGTCCGAGCGGAAATGGCGTAAGTAAAAAAAAAACCTATTTCGGGTTTTATACATTTGCAGATCTATTTCTGAACCAATTTTGATCGCTTTTTGTTAGTTTGCAGATCTTTTTCTGGACCGATTTTGATCGCACATTTTGTTGTCATTTTTGGGGGGTTATTGCTACAAGATAGCAATTTCGTGTTATGCACGTTTTGACTTTTGCAATTTTATGCCGATCGATTTATAAATTTATACTAAATATATATTCACAACATTTGGATATCACTTCCGGTTTGACGTCATTCATGTGTGAAATTTCACCGTTTGCTGTATGTTAGAATTTTTCGTTTAAAAGATTAAAAATGATCAAATTTGTCCAGGAATTATGTGATCAGTCGCCATCTTGAAAAGACAAAAAATTCAGCCCGAGGGGTTAATCGAATTTGTATTTTTGTGATTTTTGCGTCTGCAATCGATTGCTAACAAAACTTAGGAAGCCGTTTTTTAAATTTCGATTTTGCTTATTAGTTATTATTTTTAGTTATATTTGTAACTATTAGTAACTATGCGTCATTTTGATTTTGTCATATAAACCCAAGCCTTTAACGTGAAAAAACAAATATCTCAAGAAGTAATAAGTGTAGACGCTTGAAATTTTGAACTTAATTCAACATTGTGCACATGAGAACGGACATAACCAATTTTTGGTATTAGGCCTGGCACATCCGGGATAGATTCACATTTACCTAACGTAATTAATATTTTTTATAACTTGCAAAGTATGCATTTGTCATCCTTTAAATTTTGCATCTAAATGGGATACTACTTCCAAAAAATAATATGTTGCAAATTTGCAAAAATTTAATTTTTGAATTTTAACATGGATGACCTTGACCTTTGCAAGGTTACATGTCATTGATCCATTCATATCTCTTTTATTTGACCTTTGTTGACCTTTTGACCAGAACAAAAGTTGTGCTGGACAAGATCTTTTCACAAATATCTTCATTATTGTTGTGTGGTGTTTACTTCAGGATTTACAGGTATTTGAAAATCGACTTTTTACTACTAAATGTTAACATTTTTTACTTCCGAATGTAACCAGATTCATGCGTGTTTTCACTCCCGAACGATAAATAGTTATATCGACTTTTACTACAATTGTTAACATGCTTTTCTTTTCGGTTACAA